CCAATAATACACCCAAAGTAGAGAACATCAGCTATTATATCACTTCCTCCTAAACAGTCAATTAAATTGTTGTTTCATGAGAAAATGCATTCCCATTCAGGATGGCAGAAACAGCCTTCCACCTCCCCCAACACCCAGAGTGAGCTGGCCTTGAACAAATAGAGGAAGGCAAAAGGGGAGTCAATGCTGGAAAGACCAGAAATAGCCCTGGCCTGGCAGGGAGGGGTTTACAAGGAGAATGAGATGGACAGAAATGTCTAGAGTCTAAGAATGCTACCCTGAAGTACCTCTCTGCTTTTACATAACATGTTCTGCAAATCTCTAATTCAAATACTTGTCGTAAGTGTTCTAAATTAGGAAATAAAAGGCAGTTGCTTGAAGGGGAACTTGGAAAAGGAAAGAATTTCTGGGTTCTGGGTCATAAATTGAGCTAAGGACATCCTATGTTCACCTACGATGGCCCTCTTGATTTTTGTGCCTCAGTTCCCTGACTGATACAACCACTGATACTAATAAAAATTCCAATTTCAGATTGACAATGGCAGTTTAGAGTGGGGAGCAGGGAAGGATACAGGAGAGTAGCTGCTCAAGGCCAGTCTATGTTCTATTCATCTCTATATATTCCAGTCCCCTCGGTACTCAGCACATAATTTACCAATTAATAAATACAATTTAAGGAAAGGTTTAAACTTTTCAGTATAGAATCAAAATGTATGGGCTTTGGAGTCAAACTACTCAGATGCAAATCATTTTTCCTCCCTAGATGCAGGGCCAGGGGCCAGCTGCTGAACCTCCATTGGCTTCAGGTTCTCCCACCTAGAAAAGTGGCCACGGACAGCCCCTCCCTCCTAGGTGCTGTGGGGATGAAATGCTTTTCCATCAGTGAAACATGGAGCGCTGTGCCTGCCATAGGTAGCACTATTATTAGTATCCCCAACATCATTTAGCTAGTTGTCTAGTATTTTGCCCCCAAATTAGTTCCTCAGGGAACCTGGCATACATGAAAGTTGGTTGGTGTAGTGAGTTGAATTGTAACTCCCAGAAGACACATTTACCCAGAAGCTGAGAATTTGAACACATGTGGAAAGAGCGCCCCTGCAGACGTCATCGATTAAGGCAAGATCTTGGAGATGATTCATTCTGGATTAGGATGGGCCCTAAATCCAAAGTCACAGAATAGACAAAAACGAAAAGCCAGAGACCCAGGGAAGAAGGCCATGTGAAAACAGAGCCACAAGCCCAGGAACACCAGGAGCCACAGGAGGGTGCAGGGGTGAGGAAGGGAGGGTTCTTCCCCAGAGGCTTTGAAGGGAGTGTGGCCCTGCTGACCCCTGCACTGTGACTTCTGGCCTCCAGAACTGTTGTGTTAAGACCCCTGGTTTTTGGTAATCTGCAAGAAAATTACCAAGTCAAGGACAGATGACTCTGAACAACCTAGATTTAGTGAGGGAAACAAGCCAAAATGTGAAGTGGTGATTATCACGCGTCTCCTTTTCTTAGATTGTGCATTGCAGGGAAAGTTCTGCTCAGCACGGTGCAATGGCTGACTTTAGGGACTGCAAAGTTCAGGCCAGCCCATCCCATCCAGTTCCAGCCAAGAGCATCTGCTGGGAATCTTGAAAATAGCCTGCATCTTCCCACCAAGAACAAAGCGGAAACAGTAATTGTGCCATGAGAACCTGGCTGCAATCTAACACCAAAAAAATGGGCAGGCCAGGAAGCACTCAGTGCCCATCCAGGACACATACCCACACGGTCCACACCGCCTTCCTGCACCCCTCTGTGAAGGTTGGAGGAGTCATTATCCAAGACTCTAAGTGAAGGAAATATACCTAGTTGTTAAGGGTCCCACATGATTATATATTCTCCTAACTCTACAGGTTCCAGAAATCTATCTATAAAACAGATCTCCTTTTAAATAAAAAATTAAAATGTACACGGGTCATTGCAGGACCCTCCTAAGCCTTTGGAATTTTTAACAGAGTCATGAGAGAGTCGAATCCACTGATGTTCAGAGAAATGGTTTTCATTCTCTTCCTCTCTTCTAACTCCTGGAGAAAACCAGCAGCAGACAGAGCAGCAGCAGTCAGAGAGGGTGACTTTTTTGGAGCAAAGGCGTTAGACAAGATGACACATCCTGACAGGTTCAGCAAATACTGAAGGCTGTGCCAATCAGCAGATCCTTTCTGAGTGTTTGCAACGGAGGAAAGATTGCGAGTCACACAGTATTTCAAAGACAGGTCACGATTACTTCGTGTGTCATCTTCTAATGTGAAGGTCAGGGGAGAGGAGAGGCGGGTGGAGGCGGGAGGGGACGAGCAAGGAGACCCGTGTGCAGGCAAATTAACCAGGCAGGACTTGCTTCCTATTTCCCAGCACTGCCCAGGGAACTGTGTAATTGCTGGCTTTGTTGACATCTGAGGCTCTCACCTCGCAGGTAACCGACACCTCATTAGCCCCTAAGTCCTTTGTAACTTGTGAAAGTCACTTCTTCCCCATCTCAATCAGGGTTTTCTTTTTTCCCCTTAAGTGATACTCAATTTTTTTTTCCCAGTAAGAAAAGGGTTGCAGTGAAGAGACCAGTGAGGAAATCCAGAGAAGGAAATCACAGATTCTGGATCCCAGAATATCCCCAAATGGACCCCATTGTTTAAATGAAAAGAATTCTAGAATACTGAAAATACATTCAAAACGAAAAGAAATAATTCTGAAGCCAAATGAAACCAAAAAGATTTCTGTCGTTATTTGTCATTTGTTTTTCTCTACTAGGAAACAAAAAAGAGGAAGAGGGGACAGAGGAGAGAGAGAGAGAGAGAGAGAGAGAGAGAGAGAAAGAGTCCCCGCATAAATCATCTGAGAGGCTTTTAAAAATATGTAAATGCTTAATTATCTCCATTCTCCATCAAAGCGCTTTTCTGAGGAAGGGATACATTTTTAGCATTCAAAATTAAAATAATACACTCACGCATGCACACTCAATCACACATATATTTGTGCACACACATACTTGGACAATTCACAACCTTCAAAGAGAACCATGCAAATCTAATTGACAGGATAAGTTTTAAGCAAATTACTTGGTGAGCCCAACATGTTTTCCCCTTGTTGGGGTGAGGGGACACTATAAACAGTATGTACAAATATGCTAACTAAAAAAATAAAAATCTTCCTCCTTCCTGTCCAAGAATGTCAAGCCAGCCCATTAGGGTTGTGACAATGGCAAATGTTGAGCACACACAATCGCACTGAGAATCTGCTGACCAATTATTGCCGACATTCCCTGGTTTCATCAGATCCATCACTTTGCACAGAAATCAAAAGGTGGAAAAAGGGCAGGAGTTCACCAGGAGAGAAGCAGACTCTGCCTAAATTGGGATAAGGACCCTTTTCTTACAATTGCCCTGCTCTTGGGACCCTCCCACCCGAGGAGGAGAGCAAGGGCTTAGTTATTTGTGTTCAGATTTAGAGGCTTCTCTCAAAACGGAAGAGATGAGTGGAGCAAAAGAATAGAGATGATGAGAGATCAGAGGCTTAGCTGGGCACAGAAGCAAGCTAAGTGGAGTCATTAGAGATGAAGGGTCTATTTAAACATGCGCGGTGCACACATTTAACATCTTGTAAGACGTTTGAATGGTCGGTCTGTATACAAATGCATACTAAAAACAGGAAAGAAAAATATATACCAAAGTAAATGATCGCTTATTAAAAATACACACATACGTATCTTGCTAATCAGAAGCCACACCTTAACCCTGATACTTGGGCAAGTATGTTGCCACAGTAAATAAACAGCAAGAGGTAATCCATTTGCAACAAATCAAGCCACACACAAATAATTTCAGACCCTGTTTCTGGTTTCCTGACATATTACTGTACACAATGCTGCCGTTGGGTCCTGCATTCTTACATCCCTTTGAACGCTCACCAGACTATTAATTTAAAAAGTCGGGAGCTTCATCTGCTCCTCAAATCTTCATAACTTGTTTTTGTATGTTGGAAAAGACAAAAACACTAACCAGGACTTGGGTGGGAACCATTTTTGGAATAGTGGTTGGTGCTTGTTCACATCTGGATTAGGTTTAAAAATGATAACATTATGATGATGAACGCCAGAGAGCCTCATCTGCATATAAATAGGACTAATCAGAAATGCAAATTGCAATCAAGAGAAATTTTTAAAGGCTGTGATAGCTGTGTGATTGTGCAGATAAGGGAAGGTCAATGCTTGTATTGTTACATCAGTTAATGCCCCCCAGCCTGCCCAGAGCCTGCCTTTGAATGGGGCATGTGCAAAGTACAAATTATCTATCAATCTGCCCCCTGACCCGGATGGAGCCCTGGATAACTTAGTTTTCCCTAACTAGAACCTTGAGCTGGCCATCCATCAGTCCCATTCCAGTGAAAGACAACAAAACCTCTTGTCCAAACCTCCTAATGAATACACAGAAGAGAAAATATACTTGCATTTAAATACCCTCTAAACAGACCTCCTTTCAGCATGACTTCCCACTGAGTCAGAAATTAAGGGATGAATAATAAAACATATGACTGATAGAACATTTTTTCTGATGCATTTCATTGCTGACCTGAGTGGATACAGCAATATAATATGCATTTTTAGCCCCCCAAATTTCCAAAATACCTGAGAAAGCATAAAATTAAAAAGAAAACACCAGAGTTTCAACAGATTACTTAATCCTGAGTTGCATTTGTATTCTTCTCAAGCAAAACACAAAAAAAACGAACATCTCAGAAACATCGGAGTGCTGGAAATAACGCAATTGTTACAAGGTCCTGTCATTCCTTGGGTTATGTTATCTTTCAAAAACATCCTCTCTGTGTCCCCCTCCCCCGCTGGTTTCTTCTCTCCCAAAAGGAAATATATTTTGCAATCAGGCTTTCTCAGATTTGGAGAGAAATTGCGTAAAAACTCTTTATTATCCCTCTAATGATGTTTTCACAATGCACTAATGAGTCAAGAGCGCCATCTTGTGTCCTACCTCGGAATCTTAAAGAGAGTTTTCACAGGATGCATGTCAAAGAGGGGAGGGTCTCCATCCCCCAGTTCAATGGCTGTGATCCCTAAGGACCAGACGTCACAGCGAGCGTCATAGGAAGAGTCATACTGCTGCTCACAAGCAATGACCTATGAGACAAAATCAGGGAAAAATAGATCAACCCCTGCCACCTCCAATGTCCTAAAATGTCCCTTGGCTAGTTCAGCTCCCTTCTTGGTTCCCTTAGCTGCAGACATTAAATTCCAGTGAAAATAAGATGTATGTATTCTAAGGCTTATTTTTTGTGACTGATTTGTCGACTGATTTGTCAACTTATATGTTCGTCAACTTTTCAACTGTATCAGTTTAGTTCAAGAAACATGCATTGAACCATCCAAGTACTAAAAACCAGTGCAAGGGGAAGCAGTGCAATGGATTCCACACGATGGCCACGCTGTTATCCTTCAAGGGAAATATGTCCACCCTTTGCTTCCTTACCAGCTACTGAATTCAACAAGGAGCAGTTGTCCTCAAATATGCTTGACTACCGTACAACATCCCCAGCAGGGTAAACCACCCAGGGGAAGATACTGGGTGTCTGAAACGATTAATGTAAAGCAGAAACAAACCCGCTGTTCCTGTTCCCTTTATCTCGGAATATCTGCCCCTTCTTCAAACCCCAGCATCTGGTTTGCAACTGCCTCTTTAGTTATGGGTCTGACGGGGTACAGAAGTAGCAGACCCAGAAAATGATCCTGGGATCATCACTGGGTTGGGGAGCATGGACCTCCTGTAGAGGAATCTGTTTCCCTCAACTCTCTGAGTCAGAGAAAGTCCCTACACTCAGACTATTACAGCAGGGTTAGGAGAAAGTGAGATCGACCAAAGGACATGGAGGGACTGGGTGCCTCCATTTGACCAGAAATCTGCTTTCCAGAATCCCCCTTTACTATAGTTTCCCACAACTGATGTGTGGTGATCTGGTAGACTAGGGTGGTGGGGCTTCCCTCTCAGCCCGTTGAAATGTCTTTGACGTTTGCTCTGAATGAGATCGGACAGTTGACTATGGTGAACAGAGAAGTGGCAGATCTCGTAGATTTGACAGCGGGATTACCCTGGCTGCTGTGTGGAGGTGGATTGAAGCGGAACATGAGAGGAAGATGAGAACCAGTTAAAAATACTGCTGCGGGAATCCAGATGTGACATGGTGACAAATTATCAGATTGGGGATGCAATTTTGAAGGTAGAGCCAACTGGATTGGTAGAATGGGGCATATAAGAAAGAGGAGTTGAGGATGACTCCAAGGCGTTTGACCTGAGCAACTTCCAGAATTGGTTTTTCCTGAGATGGGGAAGGGAAAAGGGGAAGCAGGTTTGGGGTGCTTTAAGCCTGAAATATCTGGGAGACGTCCAAATGGAGAAGTTGATGTTAAAATTCATACTGGACTTCTACTTTGGAGAACTGGAAGATAAGTCCTATGGTCTAAAGGTGTACCCCCAAATTCATGTTTTAGAAACAGTCCCCATGCAATAGAGTTGGGAGGCAGGGCCTTTGGAGTAATGTTTAGGTGACAAAGCTCCATTCATAAATGGATTAATACTGCAATACAGAGGGCTTGCAGCAATGGAAAGCTCTCTTCTATCTTCCTCCAGGTGTGGTAATAGTAAGAAGGCCCAGGCATATGCCAGAATCTTGACCTTGGATTTCCCGACTGTGGGAATACATTTCTCTGCTTTATAGGTTATCCAGTCTCAGGTATGCAGCATAAAATGGACTAAGACAAAAAGGGATGTGTGTTGTTTTAAGCCACTAAATTTTGGGTATTGTTATGGCAATGAGAGAAAACTAGTGCACCTTCTGTCTTCCACATCCAGTTCTTTGCACTTGCAAGGCCTGGGGAAACGTGTTGGCCATCTTGCCCTAGACTTTGTTCTCTTGCTCTCACAACTGCCCTCTACTTTCCTTCTTTTCTGGCTTCTCAACTGGAAAATGTTTTTCCATATACAGGCATTCTTGGCCTGGCCCCATCCCTCTGTTCAAATAGAATGCCCTATCATAGAATATCCTGTCATACTTTCAACACATAATTTTCAAGTGTGCATTCCAACTAAAGTTCAAGTAATTCCAATTTTGGAAACAGAGGCCATTTCATTGCCCCCAAAGACCTTACTTTTCTCACCCCAATCAGGTGACAACCTACACTATTTATAAAGAGCTCAAGATAAGGCTGTTCAACACCTTCCCTTTCAGAAATGACATTTTCAGAAGTGTGAGACAAACATCATTTTAGAGCTATCAATCAGCAGACAGTTCACTGTCCTCATTCATGACACTGTGTTGGGCCCTGTGAGAGAAAGAGAAATAGACTCTACCCCTCTCCTAACAGGTATTACATCCAGTTGGAATATACAGTGCACCTCTAATAATTAAATGACAGACCATGACAACCATAAATGTCCTCAGTGTGTACTAACATGTCCAATAAAGGATTCAGACTTCAAATGCTCATGAAATTAAAGGGAGACACTTCCAGATAAGCACCCCAATGAAAATGTCCAATATCCACAGTACGACTCCCAGGGAGAAGTTCAAATCCACATCTAGCCATGTTGGGCATTCCAAGAACACATCAAATGTGGGGCTGGAGACATCCTAACACTCTTTGAATGTTGTCATAAAATATTCAAAGCATTTATCTGGTTTCAACTTCCCTGTACAAATAAAACACCATCTTCAGCTCAGTCTGATTAACAGAAAAGCGCTTGTCAGTCAAATTCTTCTCCCAAAACTCAGCTCATCATGTATCCTTTAAGCTCAGCCTTCCAAGGAAGTTTACAGAAAATCACACTAATAGAATAATTCACAAATAACTCTTTTGTAACCATGCAGGCATGGTAGTAAGTCCTGAGGGGAGAAGTCTCACATGCAATTTAATCTCCATCATAATTTCACGAAGGAGATGCTATTATCTCCTTTAGTCACTGTGGAAACTGAGGCACAGCCATGTTGAGCAGCTTACCCAGAGTCATGCAGCTAGGAATCGTCATGCTGGGATAAGGAGCAAGTCATCTCTGTGCATTAAGTGGTATACCTAATAAGGGCTATTCCATTAAAATTATCAGCTTTGCTTTCATATTTTGACTAAGATTACGCCTTTTTTTTTTTTTTTGAGGGTTTTGTCACCTACATTCTGTCATCTCCTCAGAGGAGACTCCTCCGTCAGGACTGCTCCTTTCCAAGAGTAGACAAAGGGGCACGTGTGATGGGGTTTGAAGAAGCACTCTTAAGAGGATGCGTCTGACTGAAGGTCAGTACCTGGGACTGAAAGCCAGCACATCCTGAATTTGTATTCCCCGTCAATCTAACACCACGGAGTGCAATTATCTCTTTCAGAGAAGAGTATAATCGTTCGTCTTAGCTCAGCATCCTCTTGGTCTCTAGGTAAAGGAAAGCTGAGTTAAGGATGCTGAGATCATCCAGTGGCATTTGATTCCACGGAGAAAGGAAAGCAGTGACGGCATGCGGGTGCACTCCCTTGAGACCAGACTTTGCGGGTCCCTGAAGTCATACTAGAGGGATGGACAGAAATGGGTTGAGATAGTGTTGACACCAGGCCAGGACCCAAACACCTCATCCTTTCTCTCCCTCCACCCCCACGGCCCCTGACCTGGAGACTTTGCTGCCACCCCAGCAGTGTGACAAGGGGTGGCAGCCGTGGGATGAAAGAGAGAAAGGGCATGAGAGGGAGTTTGAGAGAAGACCAGCAGCACCTGGAGTGTGACTTAACAGGGGAGGTTAGGCGAGGACACATCAATCCTGGGTGACCAGGACAATGATGGTGCCATTTACAAAAAGGAAGTCAGGAGAAAAAAAGTCAGTTTGCCAGGCAGTTCAGATAAGGTCTGAACCTCCCCCTAAGCAGGTGTAAACCAACCACTTGTGTTCTCAGGACCTCTCCTGATCTGCAGAATGGCAACGTGGGAACAAAGGGTTTCCATCATCCCTTTGGGCTCTAACACTCCGTGACTTCACAATTTCCAAGTAAGAGATCTTGGAGAAGGTTCTCAAACCGAAAGGCTAACATCTCCATGCAAATGAGCTACAGCGAATGGTGGATGGACACTCGAGGGGATTTTAGTGCAATATTTTGCAGAAGGTCTTAAGGTCTATGAAAAGATGCCGGCTGCTGTGCTAATGCCTCCCTTAAAGACAAGCGTCAGGGACAGAGCAATTGTTTAGATGCTGCTTAATGGAGCATGTCCAAGCTCCTACCTTAAAATGCGAACTTATGGCTCTTCTGGTGCACTTAGACTTCCCTGTTGCTTATTTTAGGAAGAGGAAAGACCCTAAAGCCGAGATTACTAGCAATATCTATGCACTGGAAGCCTTCAAGCCCAATGCCAATAGCTATTTTACCCCAGAGGTGGGCTTAGGTTCCCCAAATGTTGGTCGTAACCACTTTGGCTTCCCCAAACTTTTCTTTCTGGTGAGGAGTGAGGACAAAAGAAACAAGTTTTCACTGATGACTGAGCTCAAACTGGTCTTTGGAGCAAGGGCTAGCTGTCCCTCTCCCCGGATGGTGGGAATCGTTCTTTCTAGCATTCTAACAATCTCCATGCTGCAGACTCCTTAATGCACCCCCAGTGGCTCTGTACTGCCCACAGATGGGACCCCTCTTGTTCCTCCTGCAGGAACTTATGGGGGTGGGGGGAATGCACCAATGGATAAAAGCTGCTGAAACAAACCATCTTGTCTCCCTCAGCATGGTCAGCTGAGCTCTGTCCTGAGTCACCAGTTGTCAGCAGCCCTTGGGGCCTAGAGAGACTTGCTTCTCTGCCAGAGGAGGAAAATTCTGAAGCCACGCAACTCCCTTTTGATTTTGCTGCTTTCCTCACGGGGAAGTTTTTGGCCAAATATTTCATCTCTCTGTCCTTCCTCTTCTCATGTCAACTGAGAGCTCCCTTCTCATGAGCCTCGTCTGAAGTATCCCCTATGAAAATACTAGTTATTCATCTTCTTTCTCTGGTACCAAAATGTCAGTAGTAGCTATCCAGGGGTCATTTGTGTCTGGATTATATTTATTTTATTTACTTCTTGAGGATCTTTGGGATTTTCCAAAATGTCTATAGGGAGTATGAACTATTTCAA